AAGGTGTTATGGTGGTCATAAACAATCCATTGCCCTGTAACAGCTGAGTAATCATTTATTAAAACATCTGTTAATTCTTTATTAACCCTTCATAAACTCAACCTTCTTGTAAGGCCTGCTGGGTTTTAAGACCAGCAGATCTTATGGTCATGCCTTCTATTAAGGCTCCATTTATAAATAGGGTATAAAAGATTAATAAATGATTAACAGATGTTTAGTACATTTTAATAATTCTTAATTAAGAAAAGGATTTTTTTTTTTTTTTTTTTTTTTTTGCAGATGGGCTGAAACACAAATCCCTGTAACAATTGTCGTTTTGTGTGTCAACATTTGGCCCATTTTAGATGTAGGTTTAAGAACTTTTCTGCTTTCAAAGGTACATTTCCTGTTTTCATACGAGTCCAGTCATGTCACTGAGAAGCACCATCTGTCCTTCATGTTGAATGCAGGTATTTTCCATGCTAAAAACATCCAGCTGCTTCAGTTTATTTCTTTTTCCGCTAGATTCCACTTTGGTTGGCATATTTAATACCACCGGTTATTAAATATATTGAAGTCTGTAAGAAACAGCTTCTAATCAAAATCCAAACAAGAATTATTGTACAAAAAAACCATTGATTCTTGGTCAGCCACTGGCAGCTCTGCAGGAGCCTAGGGGCTGGATTTTGATCTCAGTTACATCAGTGTAAATTCATACTACCGTCATTAATTGAGCCAGTAAGACTACTTGCTGTTCTAGCTTAGGGTCAGGAATAGATGGGAGTGGTCCAAAGGCAAAAAGCCTAGCCTCAGCAAAGAGTGTGTGTCAGCGTGGTCAACAGGCCCAGAAGGGAATCTTATCCAGACCTCCTTCCCATAATTACACCATGCACAATGTGAGGATCTCAGAGGAGAGCAGAAAGGTTTAGAGAGAAGTAACAGAGAAGGTCCTCAGAACTCAGACAAGGACAAGACAAGAACTCCTTCCAACCCTAGGAGAAAATGTTGTTTCAGAAAAACTGCAAGGGCTTTTAAGAAGTGGTAATTGATGCTGTGAGCAGAAATGGCTCAGGAGCCTTCTTCCATTCTCCATCCACAGCTACAGAAGCACACGGCTCCCTGGGTGGCACTTGCAGCCTGCATTTTACATTAAAAGCAAGATCAGTACTTTCCCCTCCTTTAGTTACATGGGCGATGCCAGTTTTGGCCTTACTGTTTTGAAGCAATCCATGTTCTAGTTTCCTGGAGCAGTCAGACTACTGAGAATAACACATGATGGTCTTGTTAATCGGAGGCAGCAGCAGAATTCCAGAATTTGATTGGTCTACGGGTCATATATAAGAACTGTAACATCTCCAGTTTATAGCAGCAATACGAATTTAATGAACAGTTCTCATTATTATAATTTAGTTTCATTCCAGTGGTTTCCAGAGGTCCCATTGTGCTGGGCTCTGAACAAGCACGGAATAGGAGCCAATCCCCGCTTCAAGCCAGTGTAAGGCTCTGATCTTGCCATGTAGGTGCACCCTGCCTCCAGTACAGACGCCCACTTCATAACTGCTGGTATTAAATATGCCAGTCGAAGTGGAATCTATCAGAAAAAGAAATTGTGCATGCATGGAGGGATTTGCCTTCATGGAGTTTATTGCAGGATTGTGACTCAAAATGCCAGAATCGAGCTCCCCTTTTCAGACTCAGACAGTCAAATTCTACTCTCAGTTGCAATGGGGAACTGAAATCGATGGATTTGTTCTGGATCTACACCTGTGTCACGAGCGCAGAGTTTGGCCCAGCGGGTGGCCAATTTGTTTTTCCTGCGTGTATACGTAGAACTCCGTGAGTGCCTTAGGAGTCCTGTGCCATGTAGTTCTTGATCTTGTAGCTGTCCCTGGCATTTGCAATTCCTAAATCTCTTACAAATGTGCCACTTTATAATCCAGCTGAGAGGATGTGATTGCTGAAAGATGGCTGGTGATACACTGTGTACCATTATTTCCCCTGTTGGCACTTGAGTAAATTATATTGTCACAGAAAATTCTCATTTGAATTGCTCTTTGGATTAAGGACAGTTTTACAAACCAGAAAGAAATCCAGCTGTTAAAACACAAGGCCCACATTGTTAGAGGTGTATGAACTTTTATCCTCAGAATTATTTTCTGCTTTGCAAATCATTTGCAGTAATGGACTAATGCTTTTGCTTTGCTCTGTATACATCTGTAGACCCAGCTGAGTAATTAACAGCTGGAAATCGGCCCACTTAAGGAGGAACACTGCACTTTCAGCTGTCCCCTTGGATCCCAGTAACAAGTAGAGTTATGCTATTGGAAATATTCCCGCACTAAATGAAAATAAACACACCCAGACAAACATTAGTAATGTCCTCATTCAAAGTATCTTTTAAGGATACTTGTAGTGTGTAAAGGGACTTCCTGCTAGAAAGAATCTTAAACTGAGTGAAATGATTTGCCTTTTGGAGGCCTGCTGATTCTAACTGAACTTTGCTAGTGATTTCTTTGCACAGAATGAGCCAAATTCTTCCCTTCTGTAACTCCATTGATTTGAGTGGAGGACTGAATTTGGCCTAGTTACTTTATAATGCTCTGTTGCTAATAGTGCAGTGCAGGAAATACAGCTTTAATAGACTGCAGCATCTATCCAGCAAAAATTCTCTACATTAATTTGCTTGTATGTGATAATATAAAATAATTTTTATAATGAAACTTATTCCGTGAGGTGTACCCAGGAAAGCATAAGCAGAATTTAAGACAGTCTTAGATTATTTAGGCTTTAAAGTTTTAACTGCATGGAGGAAATAAAAAATCCAGTAGCCTGTGGGGTTAAATGTCATAGCTTATGCTACCCACTGCACAATGGCCAGCTGCTTTGCTTCCCATTGGGAAGGTATTAACCTTATAGTGAAGGAAAAGGCTCTTGTACATTTCTCTCTCATTGAAATCCTAGTGCAAACACCTGGCCTTCTATGCAGTGGGCCAGCTGAAGCAGAGCTTGAGTCGACCAGCTTGAGTCGGGAACTGTATTCTCTGATATGCCAGTCGTTAATGCTTTAGAAAAAAACAATTAAAGTACATAAAGGAACAAACAATAACAGCTCTGACAGACTCATATGAGCATAAAGGGAGGAAGGATGGTCCAGTGGTTAGGGGTTTATCTCGGGAGAGGTGAGTTCAATTCCCTGCTCCTGTGTGACTTTGAGTAACTCGCTTAATCTCTGCACATCGGTTCTCCAGCTGCCCAATGGGGATAATAGCACTTCCCTACCTCACAGGGATGTTGTGAGAATAAATACATTAACGACTGTGAGATGCTTGCATACGCAGCGTGATTGGAGCCTTAGTTAGATAAACAGAACGAAGAGCCTTTTCACTTAGCACTAAATAGTTGAGATCCCCGCTAACGATATAAACTGACCATGCCAATTTGCACTGTTAGATTCCATCTTTGTTCCCTTTATGCAGCCTAATAACAGTAGGGGGGAAAGGACATACTTATCCCGGAATTTCTTCCACGATAGTTGGAAAATCAAATTATGGGTCAGGATAAAAAGGCCTTTCCCTATATTATTCATGCAGGAATCACACAGGAGTCAATTAAAAGGAAGGTACAGTCTCATGGTTTAACCTTACAAGAAACAAAAGGAGAGACAAGTAAGAAAGTTGGGGTGGGAGTGGCAGGCTTTATAATGCTCTCAGTCTCTGAATATGTCACCCTTTGATCGAACACCTTCTTCTGGAAAGGGGAGTGGGCTAAAAACAGTGATGTAATGGTCTTACTTGGCTTTTACATTGCTGGAGGTGTTGTTTAGAGACTGCGGTTTATGGCTACAGAATAATTAGCAGAGATGAAATCTATTGTTCAAACTTCTCACATAGTTTTAATAAAATTCCTTCTTTTCAGATCCAGTTAAACAGCAGAGGACTTATCTATTCCGTTGGCTTGCTGCTGGCATCAGTTTTTGTCACAGTATGTATATAATCTCTTCATGTTCTTTATTTCCAAGATAGTAATTTTACAGAAGTTTGCTTTTTGTCCACATGTTCCTTTTCTCTTAGAGCAGCAGCAATTGCTGTGAGTCCCATTGAGAGGTACTGCCGATTCCTACTGTAAAATTTCCAGGGGCCTAATCTGGTATTTTGCAATCTATTATCTGACCTGACACGAGATGGCTCATACATTGTGTATTTTTTCCTTGAAGGAGCCCCAGGAAATTCACTAGTAATCCTTAGTCACTTTCCGTGGGAGAAATGAAACCAGACTTACTCTTGTGTACAGTCCACTCTCCTGCTGGGCAGATATGAGTTTGCTGTAAAACACAGCAAAGTGGACATGTTCATATTCAAGCATCAGACTGTTTAAAGCATACAGAGGTGTTTACACCTGCAAATTGCAGGCCCAGATACACACACAGCTGAGAGCCGTTTTAGACACACAGAAGGGAGCTGGCCATTGAAAAGTTTAAGGGGTATGTATCTCATAGAATTAAATGGAATTGTTCTTACCAGAATGAACTGACTATTAAAATATTGAGCCAGATCATTACCTGGTATTAATCAGTGCAGCTGATGGTGCTATGCCAATTTATTCCAGCAGTACATCTGGCCCACTGTATAGTAATATCCTAAAATGATAAGTTGCAATTGAGAACAGAATATTCTTCAAGCAAGTCAATGGCACTCAGCAGTGGAAAAGTAAATTTCATGGTCACACTATTGAGAAAGGTGCTTGCCACTGATTGTAAATGTTTTTGATGTTGCTGTTTACTCTGAGCAAATACTGTGTGTATTGTAGGTATTTGGTGTCCACATGAACAAATGGAAGCTGGATAAGAAGCTGGGAATTGTGTGCCTTTTCCTGTACGGCATCTTCTTATGTTTCTCCATCATGACAGAATTCAATGTTTTCACTTTCGTGAACTTGCCGATGTGCAGAGATCACTGATCCAGGTGGCAGACTGTCGAGAGGTACTTCCTTCTTACCTGTGCAATACAAAACACGGCTGGCGTCTCCAGAACACGGTGTACCCAACGGTCGTGAAATATATCCTGCTCACTGTTCATAGGATTCTCCTCCCATCTCGGTTTACCCTCTTCCGACCCCGAAACCTGGAAAAATCCTGCATCGATGTGAAGATATTTTTTTTTCAACATTAATGTGATTTCCAAGTTCAGTTTTTGAACAGTGACTGGGATTCTAAATGAACTGGCTGCTATCTGGCGTTGAGCCAGGCAAAACTGATCTGCTACAATTCCTTCCTTTTTAAGTTATTTGGTGGAAGACTAATCTAATTTATGATTTAAGACTATTGCTAGAATGCAGAAGAAGAGGGTACATTGTATATGGGGTGTTTTTCAAGCAGAACTGTGGGAATCTTTTATTTTTTTCAGAGATCAACAGCCTCTCTTTGCAACTTCTCCTTCTGAGCGCTGGATTTCGTGTAATGATCCAAAGGTCACAAGTGCAGTGTATTATGGGAACTCAATTTGAAATACTCAGCATATGAGTGGATTGACTGTTAAAAAAAAATGACTGGCAAGGCAGTGGATAACAACTTTATACTATGATTAACGCATCTCCTAAAGGTGTTGTAAGGACTGCAAGGTGAACATGGATTCAAAGGGTAAACACTGCTACCATTTTCATTATTAATGTCAGAGCTTTATTGCTAGGTTATTTATATGACTTCCAAGCAATGGTTTAGGACTGCCAGCCCACAAGGGCTAACGAGGAGAGGTCCTGGTTTTTAATGATCCACACATTGCGATGCAAGGTCAGAAGCTTCAGAGGATCGTCCAACTTCTTGTAGTTTTTGGGGGGAGTGTGTAGTTTTATGTCTTATTCGTTGTGAGAAGGACATAAGCACAGTCACACATTCTCTAAATGAGTTGTAGACACTGGTTTCTTTAAAAGGAAAGAGGCATATTTTGCACCGACATTGTTACTGAAGTCATAATTTGCCACTCTTTAAAGAATACACTGGACCTGGCCAAAAAATTTTACAGCTGAACTTATCTGATATCAGATTGTTGTGGATTTATTCCACCTCCTTCTGGAGGAAGAAAGAGAGAGCGAGAGAGAGAAATGGCACTTTTAAAATGCAGAATATCTTTAATGCAAATTCGCTCACAAATCTAAGTTATGATGAAAGTTTTGCCATTCTCTGTTCTAACAGACCTGCAAGGTTTTGTATAATACTGTATTAATATGGAGTCAAAGGTGAATGTTTTTGTCTATGGTACAGACGGTGGCCAATACTGGTAGACAGGACACAACAAAAACAGGGCCCTAAGAGAAAAAAAAAAAATCTGAACTAGCGGAAGAAAAACAGTTCAGAGTGAAGACCCGTTTATCAACTCATTTGCACTTTTGCACTTGATTATTTAAGATTAATTCTCTTCGGACAAATAGTGTAAAATAAATGTTTCCAATCTGATCTCCACTCGACACAGCACGTTACTTTCTGTCCTTTTCACACGGAACAAGTGAAAATACACATTTATTGGGCAAGTTCCATGGACAGTTGGTGCATGGCCACCTTGGGTAAAAGCAGTCTGGTGGGTCTCTGGAGGAAAGCAGGTGTGAAGACAGTGCAGATGTGAATAAAGGGAAGGGAAAAGAGGGGCTCCATTTTATATACGTGTTGCTGTTTTTTCTTCAGGAACATACTGTGATCCCACTTGTTTCGCTAAGCAGCATTGTAAGACCAGCATGCTAAGAACTACACCATATGGAAATCCCATTGCATTAGAAATCCCCATTGTACCTTCTTAGTGTGTTTTTAATTAATATTAACCACTAAAAAGTCTAAAAAGACTTCCTTAAATTAAAAAATAGTAGCATGATGTGATACATTTCAATAAATTCCAACCCTGAGGACAGTTATAAGCTCACAACAAGATATAGTAGCTCCTAAGCTGAATCTTTCCTTACTTGCAGAAGAGACAATATTTGGGAAAAAAAGTTTCACATCAGGGCCTATTATTATTTCTATTTTGAATACTTATACTGCTGCTCCAATGGAGCCAGTTGGATCTATTTCTACGAAATAGCCATTATCTATCCCATGGCACAAAAATTGCATGACTGGTTTTTTAGGAACTTTTCCTGTTGACGTACATCAAATACTTTAGTATCGTAGCTTTGCATTGTATGTGTATCCTGAAATACATTGTTCTGAACTTTGTGCATTTTGCAAGAATGTTGTGAAAGTTGCTCATTCCAAGTGTAAGCAAAGAGGTATCTTAGATACACTGAACTGCTCTTACCTGTGCCATATTCTTATGAGATGTGATAGACCGTTTGCTATGATGACAGTTTGAGTTAGATGTACTTGTGATCTGAAACCAAAGCAGATGATTCAAGCTTGATTTGAAATAGAGGGCCGGTTGACTGTGTGAGTTCTCATTTGTTTTTAAAAGACAGAGCCTTTCAAACTGATAGCTTGATTAAATTCCATGGAAAAATCTCCAAGACAAAAATGTAAGCACTTTTCTGTGCAAAGTTTATTCTGCGATCACTCTTCATGAAAGGTCTCCCTAAGACATACAATAATAAGATCGCTGCATACGCTGACTGATACTTCGAGTATTCACAGCTTTCATTTTGTTTTCCTTCCAAGCTTTCACTTTAGTTTTCCTTCCTAGCAATCGTAGACAATTTTTAACGAGCATTTCAAAGAGAGCTTAAAGAGCCTTCTCCCCAGTAGTGAACACCTCACCTCACTCTACCTTTTGACCTGATTTTATCTAGGCTGACGCCAAATATCTGATCCCATAGTTTCAACTCCGTTTGACACTTCCTTGACCGTGATTAAATGCCAAAATCTTGTGATGTGGGTGGTTTTAAGAGACACAGGAAAGATTGCTTGTGCCCTACCAAAGTAGAATTCTCTACCTGCATTTTATTTGTATTTTTTTTTAAGAAATAGTGCATTTTTTTGTAGCTATAGGTACCTACAACAGAAAATATCTTGCATGGAGGGCATTTACACTAGTGTGGTTTGGGAGGTTTCTGTGTTGTTCTGTTCCTTTGTGTTTGACTTTGTATCCTGAGCTGTGTCATTGAAGTTAGTGAATTTGCATGCTTTGGATTTGTGGCTTTTGCGCCTGTGAAACAGGAATTCATGCTAATTTTAAGCATTCAAATGCTTAACAAAAATTTCTTTAAAAAACAAAGAAAAGAAAGAAAGTGGGAAAAACACCCACAAGTGCTGAGGACACAACATTTAATGTCAGTGTAAGAACCTGAGGTTAACATCTAAAGAGCAATGACAGTAGCCCAGATTTTCAATGACTTTTCCTAATAATCTGTAAAATAAAACGTAGGTAGCAAATACTGTTGGATAATTTTTTTAAAAACTACAACTTTCTGACTACTGCCAGATGCTTCTGTTACCAAATTTATCTGTTCAAATTAAATATGAGGACATGTCAGATAATGCTGTAATGTCAAGCTCTGTCTATATTCAGAGATATGCCATTCATTTCATTCATTAATTCTCTTGCTGAGAGTAGAGAGTAGAATACACACTTTGGATCAACCATTTCTAGAGAGCTCAGTCTCCTGCCAAGATTGTGGCCTGCTCCGTATTAAGGCTGTGGTAGGCAAAGTCGGAAGCCATATTATCCTTCCAGTCTTTGTGAGGCCATCCACAAAATCTTCTCCGTCCAGCTTTTGTTGGATCAAATGCATAAAGCTAGTGGACTAGTATAGACTCCAGCATAAGAAGCAGATGGCCGAGCTAGCTGAGATGGTGTTGAGTCACTTGATAAGACACTAGAGACTGATTGGTCTGACAGCTGACATCCTCATTCAGAACATGATGAAGCTACCATATACCTTCAATACGACGTTACTGTTTCATGTCGAAAGTATCCAGTTGGCGCATTTGCGTCTCTGTTATGGCTCAGGTTTCAGAGCCATACAAAAGGATGGAAGCCACTGCTGCTTGATAGATACTCCTCTTAGAGTTGATATGTGGTGTTGATGCCACAGAGGCTTCCGAAGAGCATGCATAACAATCTTGACCTTGCTGAGTTGATGTTTCATGTCAGCAAGGCAACCTCCCTCCCTAATGACGATGGAACCAAGACACTCAAATGCGCTGACAAATTCAATCTCTTGTCCATTGATTATGATGGATAGGGGTAAAGGTCCATCAGCCACTTTCATCAGTTTGGTCTTCTTCCAATTGACTTGAAGACCAGTCTTACTTCTTACTTGCTTCTTCTGTAAATATATTCAGGGTATTAATGAGATTAGCATTTGAAGATGAGAATCTAGCTGTGGTATCTGCATATTCCAGCTCTGCTATGCAGGAGTCATGCGGTACCACCCCTGGAATGTGACTAGTGACAGCTTCCATCATTCAGTCAATAACAGTATTGCGCATATCAGGGCAGCCAAGCATCCTTGATGAACACTGCTATTGTACTCAAACCAGCTGGACATCCTGGTACCTAAGTGGACACAGCTCTCACTTCGGTAGTGTATTTCTATGAGAAGGTGGAAGAGCTTACCAGGCACACCAGTAGCTTGTAGACAGGGCCACAGGGAACAATGATCAACAAAGTTGGAGGCAGCGTTTAGATCAGTAAAAGCTGTATACACCTCTTATTGTCTGTGCCAAAACTCTTGACCTTTTCCAATAATTTGTCTAATGGTAAAAATCTGCTCTGTGATTGATCAGCTTGCTGTAGACAGCATAGATTCTTTATCGGGGGGTTAGCATGCTCAAGAAGAACCAGCATGAACAGTTTACTTGCAGTGGAAAGCAAAGTCATGTTGCAGTGATTGGAACAACCAGACTATCGCCTTTCCCTTTCTAAAATGGGAGAATAATCCCATGGCTCCAGTCATCAGGTAGTTTCTCATGAATCCATACTTAGTTGATAATATGGGTAAGCCGTCCCAAGACAGAATCCTGGCCATTTTTGATCAGCTCAGCAGCTATACCACAAATATCGGCAGTATTGCCATTCTTGAGCTTACAGACTGCTTCAAACCTCCTTGAGAGTGACATCCTCTGCATTACATGGAGGGTCTCTCATTGGGCTCGTCACATCCTCCCAGAGTTGTGGAGCTGCAGCTCTGATAGGGTGGTTAAGAAGCACCAGAAAATGTTTTTTTCCATCTACTCAGACATTCTGCCAGTACACACAACACATTACTCAAACCGGAACCCCTCTCCCCCACTGGCTGATGGAACCAAAATGTTTGGACCTTTGCACACAATGTAGATTTGCTGTTTGGAGCATGCCTTGAACACCATTGATGCTCCTACCCTCCCATCACTGAATTCCACGTTTGTGTTGCAGGACTCACTGAGACCGGTTGGAGCAGCCCCAGCAAGACAATTATTAACAGCAGTCATTACGTATGGTCAGGCCCCAGTGATGAACTTGTCAGCCACGTCGGCCTCAGCAGTGTCGCCTTGGCCTTGTCAAGGAATGCTTGTAAAGCCCTCATAAGTTGACCTCCCCTCTCCAAATGTATCCTGTGGCAAGGACTTTCTTGTAGCCATGGCAACATCACTGTCATTGGTGCTTATGCACCCCCTGCCCTTGCCAGTCAGGAGGACAAGGAACAATACCCATGAGCCCTGCGTTATGTCATCAGAAG